GGCCTGGTAGCTGCTGACCGGGTCCAGCTCGGCCACGCGGCGCCCGACCGTCCGCGCCTCGGGGCGCCCGGCGGGCCGCAGGCTGAGGCTGTGCAGGAAGCGCTGCTGCGCGTCCACCGGGCCCGGCTCGGCCCCGTCCTCCGTGCGCTGGTGGACGGCGTTGTGCGCGCTCAGGCTTGCCAGGTTGGTGAAGAGGTTGCCACACTTGGGGCAGACCTCGTAGAGGGACAGGCCGCTAACGATGGTCTCCTCCTGCACCACGTTGTTGATGGTGGCGATGGGGTCCATCTCGCTGCGCGGCCGGTTCTTGCCCGCGGCCTTGGGGCCGTGCGCCTTCAGGTGGTTCTTGAGAAACCAGGGCTCCTTGAAGCGGCGCCCGCAGATGTGGCAGCCGTGGTCGAAGGAGCCGCGGTGCTTCTTCATGTGCGCCTTCAGGAACCAGGTCTGGCTGAAGGCCTGGCCGCACACCTCGCACGGGAACTCGCCGGCCGGCGGCTCGCTCCGCCCGTTCTCGGCGGCCGTGTCCGCGCCCCCGCCACTGGGCGCCTGCGCCGTGATGTGGTCCTTCTCCACGTGGCTGAGCAGCGAGTCCTCGCGCAGCGTCACGTAGCTGCACAGCCGGCACTTGAAGGGCCGCGGGGCCTGCGGGGCGGGAAGATCGGGGCCGCGCTTGCGCTCCGGGGCACCCTTGCAGAAGGGGGTGCCCTCGCCGCCCCCCACCGTGTCCGTCTCCTTGCGGCCGCTGCGCAGCAGGATCTTGCCGCTGTCGCCCGGCAACGCCCCGTTCAGGATCTGGTTGCAGGCCGACAGGGTCTTGGCGGGGCTGGCGCACATGTCCAGGCCCCCGGATGTGCGCAGCTCGTCCAGCGGGGCCTCGCTAGCCTCGACCTCGTGGCTCTGCACCAGGGTCCCCGTGCGGTGACTTCGGATGTGGATCTTGAGGTTGCCCTTCTGGGAGGCCCTGTGATCGCAGTAGGGGCACTTGTAGGGCTTCTCGCCCGTGTGCTTGCGCATGTGCTGCGACAGGGAGCTCTGGAAGGGGAAGCTCTTGCCGCAGACACAGCAGCTGTGGCTCACAGCCTTGTCCCCATCCAGCTCCATCTCGGAGTCTCTGCCCCGATCCATGGGGCCCGAGACAGGCGCTCGCGCTGGGCTGTCCACGGAGGGCGGGGGCTTCCTGGGGCACTCCAGCAGCGGCTGGCCCTATCTCTCCATCTTCAAGCAAGGCTTTGGATCCCAGCTGCCAGAGGCGTGGCTGCGCTCCTGCATATTCTAAGCGGAGAGCATGGCCGCAGAGGAGAGACAGCACCTGAAGGGATGGAAGGTGAAAGTCAGGTGAGCAAAGCTTCCAGCAAACCAGGGCAAGGCACCACCACCCAGGCACAGGGAGCCCCCAGACTCCTCCAGACTCTGCCATTGGCCACGAAGCCACAACGCTCGGAGGAAAGTTGCTCCCCGCACTAATGGGGTATGCGCTGTGCAGAAGAAACGCAGAGAGGAAGCACAGCATCCGGTGTCCACTTGGCCAGGCTATGCTGCCTAGGGCACTGGCGGGCACTAATTAGCTGCCATCCTTATCTGTTTTGCGATACCATCCCCTTCCATGCTGCCTGTGACCTGACCTGATCAATGAAGCGGTTGAGGAGAAGTCCCTGGGAATGTTTTCGACCTCCGGACAAAGACCCCCTCCCAGGCCTTCTTGTCCCCCAACCAACAGAGCTGGGATGGAGCAGCCCCCACAACTAGTTACCAGAGCTCTTTCCTTCAAGGGAACCTGTCTCTCTATCCATCTACCTCCATGGGCGATAAGGTCCCCTGAGGGTGCTGGAGGATGGGGAGGGGGAGGGGCTGCAGAAACAGGTACCTACACTTGGTCCTGGGTGACAGGCTGTAGTACAAACATGTGTCATTGCCTGCGGGGGGCTGCAGGGGGGTTTGAAGGCACTGAGCACTTTGTTTTCTGAAAAGGGGGCTGTAGACCAAGTGAGTTTGGGAGCATATGATCAGGCTAGACAGGTGTCGCCCGCACTCTGTTTCGCCTCTTAAAATTTCTTCGTTTAAAAAAAAAAGGAAGGT